GCTACTTATCATCAAAAAAGTTCAGTAAATTTGAGATGATTGGTGAGTGATAACAGAAAAGTATAATTTTCATTGCATTCATCCCTCTCTTAAATACTTTGCTCCTTCCTATTTTATGAAATATCGTATCAAGTGTATTTTTTGTATGTTCAAATAAAACTTTATAAAAACAGGTGGCCTATTGTTTTATTATCCCTCCATATTTGGAAGACTGAAAATGATTGTTTTGCATACATTGCAAAGAAATGAGAGAAAGAGATGGTATATTATAGTTTACTATATTTAAATATATTTTAAAAGTAACATTATTCTCATTAATGACATCCTTCTGCCTTTTACCTACTACTACTTAACTGCAATGGTTTTTTTGTGAACAATTTGGTGAATTAATATTTCATATAATATTTCTGAATATAACTTCAGAATCTTTCTTTTTCTTTAATGACTTCATAACAGGCACACTAAAACAGTTTAACTGTTTTGCCAATAATCATTATTTTTATTAAACATTCTTTTAAATTGTTTCCAGTACATCTTGCTTTTATTGACCACACCAATAAAGTTCATCTTTGCTGTTTTATTACTGAGGCAGTTCATCTACCAAAATCATAACCTGAGACATGTTAGAAACATCTGTTCTTTCTTTCAACAGAAAACCTCTGGTATAACGCAATTTGTCTTAATTTCTTTTTTCTCCAAATCTCTGGCAATATTTTCGGTTTTTCTTTTTTTTTTTTAAGTACTTTCTGTTAAATAAGTATGTTAGTCTTTGTGCCATATTGTGTTCCTAGAAAAATTGGAGCCATTTTTACAAAGTGAGAAAAAGATGTGTACCCAATAGTAAGAGGCTTTTTAAAAATTGAAGTAAGATTCATGTAACGTGAAAGCAACTATTTTAAAGTGAACAATTCAGTGGCATTTAGTACAATCACAACGTTGTGAAACCATGACATCTAGCTAGCTCCAAAATATTTTCCTTCCCCAAAAGAACATCCCATAATCATTAAGCAGTTACTTCTTATTCCTCTCTCTCTCCAGTCCCTAACAAAACATTTGCTTTTTGTCTCCATGGGCCTAACTATTCTAGAGATTTCATGTAAATGAATCGTATAACATGTAACCTTTGGTGTCTGGCTTCTTTCGACTTAGTGTAATATAGTCAAGTTTCATTCATACTGTAATATATTGGAATTTCATTCTATTTTATGCTTGAGTAATGCTCTGTTTTATGTATGTGTCATAATTTATCCATTCCTCTGCTGATAGGCATTTGGATTATTTTCACCTTTTGGCTATTGTGAATGTTGCTGCTATGAACATATGTATACATGTATTTTTAAAGTATCTCTTCAATTCTTTTGTGTATATCCTTGAGGGGGAAATTACTGGCTCCTATGTGAATTCTATATTTAACTATTTAAGGAACCAAGAAACATGGTAGAGCCTGTCTAAACTAAAAATATAAAAATTAGCTTCATGTCGTGGTGCATGGCTGTAATACCAGCTTCTTGGGGGCTGAGGAACAAGGTTCACTTGAACCTGGGAGGCAGAGGTTGCACTGAGCCGAGATTGTGCCACTAAACTCCATCCTGGGAAAGAAGAGGGAAAATTTGTCTCAAAAACAAAGTAAAACAAAAATCATATTAGAAAGTACAATATCTGTTTGTGCTAAATTTGCCAATGTTGTCAAATGTTCTTTGTGTTTTATTGTCATCGTAGTTTAATTATATGTGGAGGATTAATAATTTCATGACTCTTTTTTTTTTTTTTTTTTTTTTGAGACTGATGTTTGCTCTGTTGTCCAGGCTGGAGTGCAGTGGTGCAGTCTCGGCTCACTACAGCCTCTGCCTCCTGGGTTCCACCAGGTTGGCCAGGCTGGTCTCAAACTCCTGGCCTCAAGTGATCCCCCTACTTCAGCTTTCAATAGTGCTGGCTTTACAGACACCAGCCACTGTGCTTGACTCATAATTCTAACATTTCTTATATAAATATTTATTTCTCTACATGGGCTCTTTAATTATTTTTTGCATCATTTCACAAATATTGGTTATACTGCAGTATTTTTTAAAAAAACAAGTATCTTGGGTAGTATTGAGAAAGAGAAAGTAAATTGGTTTGAAAGAGTTTCCAGAGCAGTTGAGTAGACTGAAAGTTTAAAATGTAACCAGAGTTATTAAAATTGCTTTTTCTTCAAGTGGAAGACTGCCATGGTGTTGAGAGAAACGAAATGGAAAATTAATAGGAAAGCAAAAAAAAATTGTTTTAGTTGAGTTTTAGTCTTATATTTGGCTATTATTGGACACTGTCAGTGATGAGTTTAACCTTCTTGAATGAGGTAGACATGATAAGATGCAATTACTGTTATTATGATTATTGAACTATAAACCAAGAGGTTAGTCTTGAGGGCTGAGTCCCACAGGACTACCACTCACCTGTAGATGCTGATTACAAGCTTAAAATTGTGACCTGTGTTTCTGATTAAATGGCTAAAAATTGGGGTTCTCATGTCCCCTTCCTCAGTTTTGATTAATTTGCTGGAGTAGCTCAACAGTACTCAGGAAAATGCGTTAATTTAACCACTTATTATAAAGGATATTACAAAGCATATAGATAAACAGCCAGATGAAAGAAATGCCCAAAGCAAGGTATGCACCAGATGAAAGAAATGCCCAAAGCAAGGTATGCATCAAGAGGCATGGAGTTTCCATTTCCCATCTGGGGTGCTACTCTCCAGGCACCCCAATTGACTGAAGTTATCTGAAAACTCCACTACTCCCCAAACGCAGTCCTTTTGAATTTTTATGGAGGCTAAATTAAAGAGGCCTAATGAAAAAGGCATGATTGACTATTTCATTGTCCACTGGCAGTCAACTCCACCTTCAGCCCTTCTTTCCTCTCCAGAGGTTGTGGAATGGGAGCAAAATTTCCAACCCTCTAATTACATGGTTGGTTTCCCTGGCTGCCTAGTCCCAATCCTGAAGCTATCAAGAACCCCAGTCCCCATAACCAGTTATCTCATTAGAATATTAAAAACAATCCCAGCACTTTGGGAGGCCGAGGCGGGTGGATCATGAGGTCAAGAGATCGAGACCATCCTGGTCAACATGGTGAAACCCCGTCTCTACTAAAAATACAAAAAATCAGCTGGGCATGGTGGCGCGTGCCTGTAGTCCCAGCTACTCAGGAGGCTGAGGCAGGAGAATTGCCTGAACCCAGGAGGTGGAGGTTGCAGTGAGCCGAGATCGCACCATTGCACTCCAGCCTGGGTAACAAGAGCAAAACTCCCTCTCAAAAAAAAAAAAAAAAAAAAAAAAAAAAAGAATATAAAAACGAACTTATCACTTAAGAGATTTCAAGGGTTTTAGAAGGTGAGTGCCAAGAAATAGAGATGAAGAACAAATATGCATTTTGCAATGTCAAAATTGCTTGATGATATTTTCATCAGAATGTTGATACTGTCATTTGATTCTACTGTTTTCTGTTTAATAATGTATTTTAAGAGAGATGTAAACTAACTAAAACACTATTTTATTTCAAACAGATTTCAGAGGAAATATAGATGGCCCAGGAAACAGATAGCTTCAGCAAAAAGATTTTCAAGGTAAGAGAGGACCTCAAGGAAAATATCAAATCAATAATTCAGCCAATTGCATAGACCTCAGAGTGAGTAAAGAAAAAATCAAGGCTATACCTGAAAAACCTTTCTGAAAATCTCATAAACATTTAGGATATATTTTGTATAACCCCTCAGCTACACAAAAAGTTTCCTAAGGGCATTGTTTCAGGAAATATAATTGCCAAAATTAGATAAAAGTTTGCCTTAAATAATTATAGATATGGCTTTGAGTGAATCAAATGAGCTCCAATAAGATTCATAGGAAATCCACAAAGGTTTTAAGAACATTTTTATTAACAAATGTGCCATCAGTTGATTAAAAGGCAAGGCCTTTTTATGAATAGGAAGCAAGGTCTGAAAGCTAATGAGCTGTAAACACAGAAGTTTTCTTATGGAAGAAGAAATATGTCTCACAGGGCATAAACAGAACTTGGAAGTTTGAACTAAGAAGTGTAAAGAATAACAAATTATCAAATAACCCTAAGGCAGCATAATTTGTAACAAAAAAAAAATATCTCCAGCTTCCACAGAGAACTGGCAAAAAGTACCCGGCTGAATTTCGTAACTCATATGGACTGTGATTTCTGTGCCTTGCATTTCCTCCCTTTTTGAATGAGATTGTCAACTGTGGATGACAGATTATGTCATTTTAGCTTACAGATTTCCAAAATAAGAGGAAATGTACCTCCACGTCTCTTCTACATCTGGATCTTATTCAATCATGAGACACTGTACTTTGAGACTGATGATATAATTGAATGAGGTTTGGGAGAATTATGGAGAGGTGAGTATACTTTGCACAGACTGTACTAAATTACATCCAAAAAAGGCTGCTGTAAAATTCTTACCATGCCTGTAAATTGTATATTAATATTTTCCTTCTACTAAATCTAGGTTTGCATTATTGTTGGTTTTGACCTATGAAATGCTGCAGAAGTGAGATTATGCTGTTTCTGAGCATAGCATTTAAGAGGTCTCCTGCTTCTGATTATACTCTCTTGCAGCCCTGAACTAATATTCAGCAAGCCTAACTAGCCTGCTAGAGAAATGGGTCCAATCAGAGTTTAGCATTTCCAACCACCTCGGCTGAGGCATCAGACATGTGAATGTACCTGTCTTTTATGTTTCAGCGCTAGCCAATCTTCCCCTAGTTCACTGCAATTACTCAAGCGCTTGAGTGATCCTGGATAACATCACAGTGAACAGCAGGAAAACTTAGCTGAGCCTAACAAATCCACAGAATTATGAGAAAAATTTTTAAATGTTATAAACCCAGAAGATATGTACTGAGTTGTCATCCTTCTTAGATAAATGACACTGAATTTTATTGATTATACACACACACATACACACACACACACATGCTGGGAATTTCTCACCTGTACTTCCTTTGTGATGGGTGATATAGTAATTCATTGGCTGTTTATGGAGCCCGCTACTCAGCTTTTGTATTTTATGGTACATCTTCAGATACTTTTAGTCAAGGTTACCTCCTTCCAGCAGGAAGACCCTAAGTTCTGTAGTGGCCAAACTACTCAGCAACTAAATGGTTCTCCTTGAAGCAAGAAAATAGATATACTTAAGAAAATGAATCATAGAGCAGCTCTTCCTTCCTTCAATATTTGTCACTTATAAAGATGAAGAGTGTTTTATTTCCTGTTACCATGTACCCTCTGCTCATATGTTTTTGCTACCAATGTCCTAGCATTTTCCCTTGAGAGGTGCAATTTTCTCCCATGTTGATTACTTTCCTTGAAAAAACATTCGTGTTTTTATCCCTGTTTTAACCTCTAAGATTTTGAAGAATAATGTTGTCTGGCAACAAGATTCCAAAATATGTATTGGTAATAGATCTGAGATAAATTAGAATAAAAAATATTATTAAACAATGAGAGTAGAAAATTGCAAAGGCAGGCTGGGTGTGGTGGCTCACGTGGTGACTCACACTTGTAATCCCAGCAATTTGGGAGGCAAAGGTGGGTGGATCATGAGGTCAGGAGTTCATGAGGTGGGTGGATCACCTGGCCAATATGGTGAAACCCTATCTCTACTAAAATTACAAAAAAATTAGCTGGGTGTGTTGATGGGTAACTGTAATTCCAGCTACTCGAGAGGCTGAGGCAGGAGAATCCCTTGAGCCCAGGAGGCAGAGGTTGTAGACCACACCATTGCACTCCAGCCTGGGCTACAGAGCAAGACTCTGTGTCAAAAAAAAAAAAAAAAAAAAAAAAAAAAAA